AGAACCAGTGGAGGAGACAGCTGTACTGTTCTGGGCACTGGCCCATTCAGGCCGCTGTGCTTGGGGAAGAAATGGAGGGAGGTTTGTGTTGTGGTTTCTCTAAGGACTAGCCCAGGAGTGTCATGTGTGGCTTACAAAAAAATCTATAAAAATTTTTCAGAAGCCAGCGTGATGCTGCCTGTCCCCTGCCCTCTCCTCTGTATTTGCTAAGTGACCACTCGTCCTCACTCTGGGCTGGTCTCCAGAGAGATCTTTGTAACTAGTCTGAAAAGAAGCCACCACAGTACCATCAAAGACTTGCCCCACTCCTTCCCTGTGAGGGGAAGAGGGAGGGGGAAGGTCAGATGGGACCATGGCAGCTGCCCCTGCCCTCAGTGGTGGCAGCAGGTGTCACCACCACCTCTCCTCAAATGCACCCTCTCTATACTCCTAGGAAGCCAGGGGGTTTCAAGTCCTCCCAGCATGTCTGGGGGCTGTGGGCTGAGGAGGGTGTGGCCACCCATCTGAGAGGCCCTACTTCTGCCTGGTGCCCCATCTGGGCAAGGCGATGGATCCCAAATCTTAAACCCAAGAGGAGAAATGTTGCTATATACCAAGATGACGGTATGAACTTGTCCCACCTCATGGGGAGGTGCATTTCCAGGCAGAGAGGCAGGAACCGATGCAATGAGCACCTACTGTGTGCATCCCAGGTTCCAATCCACACAGTCAGCCCAGAAAACCTGGTCAGTGTGGGCCTCACTTTAAAGAGGCTAGCTGCAAGCTGGAGGGCACCCAGGATGCTGCGGGATCTCGAAACCAGTTCATTAAGAGAGCCAAGCTGCTTTGCCTGGGGAAGTGTAGACTCCCCGGGGATCACATCATACTCTTCAAAGAGAAGAGGCCGAGATCAGAGGGGGAATGGAGGAGACCAAAGGTTTATGTGTGTGTGTATCTGGAGTAGCCATAGGCTCAGGAATTTTTTTTTTTTTTTTTTTTTTAAGACAAAGTCTTGCTCTGTTGTCCAGGTTGGAGTGCAGTGGCATGATCTTGGCTCAGTGCAACCTCTACCTCCCAAGTTCAAGTTATTATCCTGACTCAGCCTCCCAAGTAGCTGGGATTACAGGCACCCACCACCACAGCTAATTTTTGTATTTTTAGTAGAGACAGGGTTTCACGATGTCAGCCAGGCTAGTCTTGAATTCCTGACTTCGTGATCCACCCCCCCTCAGCCTCCTAAAGTGTTGGGATTACAGGCGTGAGCCACCGCGCCCAGCCAAACTCATGGATTTTTAGAGCTTAATGGACCTCAAAGGCCAGCCCCCACTGAATGTGCAATAAAGGGAAGTTTTCTGTGTGTATGTTTTTGTATATGAGTGTACATGGTTTTCTAGTTTTTGTGTGATCTGTGTGTGTTCATATACTCACCTACACACACAAACCATCTTAAGGCAGATCACTTTAAGCAGCAAATGACTAGAGAAGTCCCACCAGAGGGTAAAAAATGAACCCATCACGAACCAGCCACCTTCAAGTGCAATATTCCAAACCAGAGACCACCACCTCTTGCCATTCACTGAGACTGTAGGCTTTGTTATCTTGTCTGCCCTCAAAAGTGTTGGTTGACTATGGGATCTATGTAGGAGGCTTGCTGGGGTTGCCCTGCAGCCTCAGGGGCAAAGCCAGGAGCTTGGGGCAGAGGGAGGGCCCCAGGAGGCAGGTTGAGCTCAATGTAGGGTGGCCATTTCTATCACTCAGCCATGGGAAGGCCTGTTCCTGGAGGTAGTGAGCTCTCCATCATGGCAGCGCAGGAGGAGAGGTTGGGATGTCCACTTGCTGCCAAGGAGATTGCCGTCCAGGGTGGGCTGTTGAGAGAGACATCTTCTGTCTCTGCCTATTTGCAAATTTCGCCATGCTGGTTCTGAGAGCCCTGAGAATGGGTGATGTGGGGGTGGTGGGTGTGGGGAAGCTGTGTTCACCAAAATGTCCAATTATCCAGGACAGCCTGTGCCCGAAACTCCTGGACATGGAGGCTCATATGGGAAGCCCTACGTCCTCGGGCTGGGGCTAGGCCCAAATAGGGCACGCACATTCATTTCTCCTGAAGCATTTCCGCTCTGTGACAGCACTGATCACGTCTGACCACATGCAAAGAGCTGCCCCTAGGATGGAGTTGTTGACCATGTGAACAAGGGGCCCGAGAGGCCCGCTATCACAAGCCTCGGCAGCTAGAGTGTCCACAGGACTCTAAGACCTCCAGGTGTCAGGTGATGTCTTCTGGACCCATTATGCAATATTTGATTTAAAGGGTGGAAGAGTTGATGGCCCCAGCCCTGCCGCTGCCTTCCCGAAGTCTAGGATGCAGAGATGAATACCAGGTACCTTCCAAGATGAAGTCGCAGGCAACACTTTAGGCGCAACAATAAGGGGGCGGGAACCTGATCTCTGTTACAGCAGCTTAGCTCATAACTGTACTCAGCTACCACGAGGAGTCCAAATAGCCCCTTCAAGGACTCCGTATCATGTGACCTTGTTTGAATTTCCTCAGACCCCTTATCATTAGCTGATATCTGCTTATGAACTATTTGTTTATTGTCTGTTCCATACTCCCTGCTAAGAATGCAAGCTTTACGAAGACAAGGCATTATTGGTTTTTTTCTTCTTCTTCAATGTAATATTCCTAAAATCCAGAACAGCAATTGCTCATAGTGGGTGCTTCATAAATGTTTGCAGTTGCATAGAGAACAATGATGGTATTGCAGTGAAGGTGGTAATGAGGGGTGGAGAAGGGGATGGGGCCCTTTAGACTTAGCTGCAATGCAATCTGACCTGTTTATGAATTCTCAACACTTTTCTGTCATTCCTTAGGGAGAAGGATGCCAAAAGGGCTCAGACGCTAGAGAGCCATGTCCAAGCCCAATGAAGGTGTGAGCTCAAAGCAGAATGAGGTCCATGGCTGCCAATCCCTCATTCTCCCCATTTCAATCCACAATGGCAGCCAAAATTCTACTTCTTGCCTTGCATAGTTCCTGACATGCAGTGACTCCTCATCAAATATACATGGAATAAAAGAATGAATGAATGGGGTGCTGTGGCTGCAAGGACTTCACAGTGAATTTAATTTAACCACATTAGCACTTTATACTCAGGCTCCTAACCTGGTCTTTAAGATTCTGGAATTAAAGGGAGTCAGTTATTGGCCAATTCTTGGATAGTTTACCAAGAAATATTTCCACTACAAAGAGATTTAGCTTCTGTGTGTGCCACTACAGGTGTGAAAATGCCTGTGTGTCAGTTTGCATGTATGTGAGAGCATGTACATATGCATTAAGTGTGTGCGTCCTTCTTGCCAAGGTATGTGCGCACACATCTGTGTGTCTGTGACTGTGTTTAGATATTCACATGTGATTAATGACAGCGTATATGTAGAGTGTGCATGTGTGTGTGTGTGTGTGTGTGTGCGTGCGCATTCTTGGCTGTAGAATCTGAATTTCTGCTAGTACTATTTTCCTGGTACACACCCAATCCTGATCCCCTTTCTTTTCCTTTCTTCTCAGAAATCCATTACTAAAAGGTTTTTTACCCGCCTCCAGGGGGAGGGGGTTGGGGGAAGGAGACACTAAAATCACAAGGCCTAGATCAAAACACTCAGCAGCTAAATGAATTCGGCAGCATTTTCCCGCATGACTTGGAGGGATAATTTAGTGAGGCCGCCAGCTGGAAGGAAAGGGATTAATTCTGCACTTAGCACAGCTCCAGTGAATAATTCATTACTGGAGACCTTTGTGCCCAGCCCCTGGGCAATTGGGAAACTGTTCTGCCCACCTGCCTGTTGCCTGCCTGGGCCCACTAGTCAGTCCCCTGACAAGGGGCACCTGACGCTCCTTTTAGTCCCAGGATACACATGCACAGTGGAAGGGGCAGGAGGCAGAGGGAGGTGGGGAGGGGCTGGCAGTGGTCAGTGGCCACAGGCAGACTCTATACCTTGGGAAGAGGCCCCAGAGGTTTGGGCTCCAAACTGGGAAGTTTGTGACCTTTCTCACCAAGATTCTGCTGCCTCTTTCTTGGGGTTTGTTGCTTCTAACCTTGAGAGGGCAATCCTGAATACCTATAGCAGAGAGTGCCAGTGGGGGTCTCAGACCCTCTCCAGAGGCCTTGTAAAAGCACTTTCAGGCTAGTAGCAGCCCAGATATACTCCTCATACTCCACACTATAGGATTGCCTGTGCTCTTCATGAGGGAGGTCACAGAGCCAAGTACTACCCCAGAGCTGGTGGATATTTTTCCTGCGTGGGAAGAAGGCAGGAGTGGGTTGGTGCGGACATTAGTCCCTGCAAACACTTTCTGGGTTCATGGTCCTAAACTACCCACATCCCAGGACCACTGAGAGGAAAGGGGGAAAGTCCAGCGGGTGTCTGGCATGTGCACTGCAGCCAAGTGAGCAGGGTCTAAGCTGGGCCGAGACCAGGTGTAGCTAACTAGAGGGATCGAGGTTCATCCAGCAGGCAGGGCTCAGCCCTGGGTGTCTTCACATTTGGACCAACCCAGCTGTGGTAGATAGAATTCCAAAAACAGGCCTCCAAGATTTTACACCCTCATTCTTGGAACCCGTGAATATGATGACTGATGAACCTGGGATGATGTTTGTTATACGGGACTGTTGACTTTAAGATAGGCAGATGATTCGAGTGGCCTGACCTTGTCATACCAGCCCCTCTAACAGTACTTCTAAAAGTTTTCTGTGGCTGCTGACAGAAGAGGATGCCAGAGTTTTGAGGTGTGACGGGGACTGGATATGCCTGCTGGCTTAAGATGAACGGGGCCATTGTGAGGGGGCATGTGGGTGTCCTTCAGGAGCTGAGAGCTGCCCCGGCTGACAGCCTGCAAGGAGACGGGGTTGTGAGTCCACCACTGCGGGGAACTGGATTGTGGTGGCTACCTGAATGGACTTGGAAGCAGATTCCTCCCCAGAACCCCCAGAAAGGAATGCGACCCTGCCAACATCTTGATTCCAGCCACCCTGTGTCACAGGACCTACCTATAGAAGTGTCAGCTAATAAATGGGCATGATTTTAAGCTGCTAAGTTGGTTATAAAGCAATAGAAAACTGATATCCTAGCTCACCCTTGCAGAACCTTGATCCCAGTGAGCCAGACTTGGCTTGGGCTTGGTCAGAGGCTGACTCCCAGGTCTGGGTGGCCCTCTGCTCACAGCTCTCCTCTTCCTAATCTCAGCTTTCTCTCTGTTTTTCTGGAGTCTCAAATCACCCTTAGATGCTTCCATCCAAAGTAGTAGTCCCATTCCCCCGGAAGTCCCTGAACAAAGCCAGCAATTGTGAAGGAAGTTGGATCTCACTAACATGTGCCTGCTGGCCCTGACCCTCCCCTGGCCCACAGCCTTACCTCGGAGGAAAGCAACTGGAAGGAGAGATCCACTGTGGGGGCCTCACCATCGATAGTTTTCAGGCTGGTGTCCTGGGGAGGAGAAGGGAGCACTCAGACCATGCTGGCCAGGGCAGCTTCCGCCTCTGCCCCACCTACTATTCTGGAGTTCTCTGGAAGGTGTCACCTGGGGGCTGTACCTAGGAGGGTGGGAGGGAGGTGGGAGCTGGCCTCCTGCTTCTGCAAACCACCTCCACACCATGCCTTCTAAACCCCTCTAGAGACCTGTCTGACACCACTAGGCTCATCTGACAGAGAGATTCTCATTTGTTGAGGTCTATTATGTCAGGATGGCCAGAAGTATTTTAGGGGAAATGGTGGCATAGAAATAGAGAACAATGGTAACAATATTATTCATTCTTGTTGAGAACTTACTCTAAGTGCTTTCCATGGGTTTTCTCATGAAATCTCACAGCAGCCCTATGAAAAAAGTGCTATTGCCATGTACTCATTTTACAGGCAAGGAAACTGAGGCATTGACACTTTAAGTAGTTTTCCCATGGTCATGTTAGCTGGTATGTGGTGGAACCAGAATTTGAACCCAGATAGTCTGGTTCTAGAGCCTGAGTTCTGAACTCTCTTGTTACACACAGAAATTGTGTACTTGGCATGCTGCTCCTGTTTTACAGACGAGGACTCTCATGGTTAAGTAATGTGCCTGAATTTCCGCAGTGAGGATGGGGCCAAGACAGGATTTGAACCTGGGTCTGACTGGCTGAAAGCCTGAGCACTTGTACTGTCTCACAGGGTCTCCCTGTACTTGTCTCCCAAGTTGCTCAGGGGCAGTTTCTCTGGCTTGGTTCGTCATAGTCCCAGAGGCAAGACTGGTTTCTGGGGTTTCAGGGAGCTCCTCACTCCTAGACTGGGTGGCTTCCCTGGTGGGTGCCTTGACAGAAGCTTCTGGAGAAGCCAAATTCTCCTATGGAGGTGTGGTGAGGTGGGGCAGGGTGAGGCAGGGTGGGGCCAGGTGGCATGCCAGGGGCCCAGTTCAGGGCAGGGGGCTCACCATGATGGGGAGCCGCTCCACGTGAAGCCCATCCAAGCCTTTCCCTCTCAGCATCTTCTGGTACAAACGGCTCTTTAGTGGCAACACAGAGATGCCCAGGGGCTGGTCGAGAGTCCACGGCTGGCTGCCTTTCACTGTGGGGGAGGGATCAACTGGGGCTCCTGCCAAAGCCCCCACTTTGGCCTCTGCTTTAATACCTGACATCCAGTCCTCCTGTCTCCCACCGCCTGCTTTCCTGCCTCCTGGCCTTTCCCTGCACATACATCCTCTTCTCATCTTTAGGGCTTTGTGAATTCAAAGCTAACTCTAAACATACTCTGTGTGTCTGGGAATTTATATACATCAACCTAGTCTCTGCCCTTTGGGGGCTTCAATCCCACCGTGCAGAAGACTGTGGATCAGCTGGTCTCTGAAGCCCATCTTCCTCTCCCCTCTCTGTGAGTTCTGAGGGCTCCAGCCCTCCCCCATCACTGATGGGTGCAATAAAACAAAGCTTGAGGCTAAGACCTAGTATGGGACAGGCCCACGTGTCCTGGCCTGTGGACAAGGAATGCAGCCAGCTCTCCTCTGCCTGCACTAGGAAGCTGCCTGGGCACCTGGGAACCATCCATCCCTGTGGGAGGCAGAGGTGGGATGGTCTGAACATCCTTTCATAATATAAATCTCCTGAGGCATGGCTGCCCTGGTGAGGCACCAGGGGTCACGTACTTGAAGTTGAGGAGTAGTACTCCAGCACCAGGGCTGTGTCTTCTGAGAAGTTGGTAGCTCCATCTCGGCCTTGGAAGAGGAAGGACTGATTCCATAGGGGCTGCTCTGGGGGTCCCCCAGGCTTGGACAGCTGGAGGGAGAAGGTAGGAGCAGGTGGTGGGGGCCACAGCTTCTCCCAAATCAAGGCATACTCAGATATTTGGTTGTGTGTATCTATATTTGTCACAAAGTTTCTCCCAGTTATAAAAGCAAGCTGACTGGGCGTGGTGGCTCATGCCTGTAATCCCAGCACTTTGGGAGGTCCAGGCAAGTGGATCACTTGAGGTCAAGAGTTCAAGACCAGCCTGGCCAACATGGCAAAACCCGTCTCTGCTAAAAATACAAACATTAGCCAGGTGTGGTGGGGGACTCCTGTAATCCCAGCTACCCAAGAGGCTGGGGCAGGAGAACTGCTTGAACCCGGGCAGGGGTGGAGGTTGCAGCGAGCTGAGATTGTGCCACCGCACTCCAGTCTGGGTGACAGAGGGAAACTCTGTCCCTAAATAAATAAATAAATAAATAAATAACTGCAACACACACATAATAAATACATTTAGGAAAATGCAGAAACATAGGAAGAAGAAAAACACCTCCGGTGTTCCTACGATAAACACAGTTCATAAAACTGTGCTTCTTCCTAGATTTTTTCTGTGTATACTTTATGTATAATCGCCATTCTAGCATCCTGCCTTTTTCATTTACCAGTAAAACCTAAGCATATACAAAGTCACAGGAAACTCGTCACCCATGACTTGAGTAACTTCAGGATATTCTGTCATGTCCGAGTGTCCTGATGTTTCCCTTCCCATTTTTCCCTTTAATAACACTGCATTGAACGTTCTCTGCTATATATCTTCATATTGCAAATTACTTCCTTAGTACAATTTAGTACCTAAAATGGAATTGCTGGGTTATAGGACGTGTGTATTTTAGGACACCTTATTCATTATTGGTAAACTGTTTTCCTAAAGTGTTGCACTCGTGTTCACACCTGTGGCTGGTGGTGTCACAGATGCTAAGTTAGACATGACCTCTGTCTTTGTCACCAGCCCCTCTCTGCCCCACACAGTTTCCCTGGCCCCTTGCAGAGGCCAAGACAGCTCTGCAGACTACAGAGCCTCCCTGTGCCCATAGTGTGGGCCAGTGGGAACTCGGGGGACTTGATGGCACCCTAGGCCAGCAGTTAGGGCACACACATGGGTATGATTCAAACAATGAAACAAGACAGTATTAACTGTAGCACTGCCCAATAAGAGAGCTATATGAAATATTCCTGTGGGTGGTCAGAAAAGCCTCCTTGAAGGAAGCAGAACCAGAGAAAGGCTCTGAAGGAAGGTCTGGCTGGGTGAAGAGAGGGATAAAGGTCTTCAGGATGGGAAAACAGCACAAGCAAACATGTGGAGTGGCACTGAGCACATCTTGTGCAGAGGACGCCTGGAATGAGGAGAGGCTCCAGGGGGAAGCCTGGCATCTGCCAAGGCCAGAAGGTGGGAGATGGGAGATGGCCATCATCAGCCTGTAACTCCCAGCCCGCAGCCCTGCAGGGTCCCAGCACAGCGCGGGGCTATGGGTCATTGCCACAGACCCACCAAGTGACTGCCTTGCCTCTGTTCCCCAGCCAGGGACTGTCAGCAACAGTAGTGGCTGCTCCCACCTCCTGCTGCCCTGCAAGAATCAGTCATTGCTTGAAAAGGTCAGCACAAATGCACTGCGGCTCCAGGAGTTATTGATGCAGGATCATGAAATATCAGCGTAGGTCCACTCCCCCACAGTGGCAGGGTGCTGATGACAGTCACACTAATGGGTCTGGTTTGTCCAGGCTCAGCCCAAGGCTCAGCTGTGTCTGCCCCTGGCCCTGGGGAGATGGGTTGCAATCACTTCAGGACTAGGGTGCCCTAGACACCTGAACAGAGACTGCAGTGGTGGGAGCATCCCACTTTTTACGGGAGCTTGGCCAACAGGTCTGGTGAGAGAAGTTGCTTCTGAGTTCTGTGGGGCTTGGGAGTGATCTTTCAAGATTGATCCCCAAACCATGTCCCTCCCAGAACCGCCCCATTCACCTGGCTGGGACTGTCTGCCAGGCATTGGGGCACCTATGACTCAGTCCCCTGCTGCCCATACCTTGCTACTGCCCTGGAAGAAGGTTATTTAGTAGATGCTAGCTACCCTTTCTGGGACCTACCCATGTGTCTGTATGGAGCCTATGAAGCCAGAGGTGGCGAGTGGTTGCCTGCCCAATAAGGAGCAGCCCTTTCCCTGAGTAGTTTCCCAGGGCAAGTCACCTAGGAAAGATCCCTTCAGACTTAGGATTGGGGAGGGAGGGTCAGCCTCTGTTGTGTATGTGCAGGCAGGAGTGGTGGGAACTCGAAGTTAGAAGACCTGCAGTCTGATGCCAGAGTCCCGGTGAGGGTGCTGTGGCTGATGAGTGTGCAGGGTGGGGGCTGGGAGAGGCAGGCATTGCCTGCAGATGCTAATGGAAAGGGCCACAGCGGTGGTGGAATTACGGAATGTCATTAACCCTCAGCTGTGATCTTCAGAAAAGCCATTAACCCCCAGCCATGGAGGCAGACCTGCTTCCCCTTGGGGACAGAGCCTTCATTCCATGCCCTCCCAACCCCCCCGCCTCATTTCCCCTGGGCCCACCCACACCCACCTCTGCCTGCTCTGCCCAGGCATAGTGGCCCCATCAGGAGGAGTAGTTGCTGGGAGCAGATGCTGGGCTGGGGTATCTAGAGAGATAGGACCCCTTAGCTCTGGGCCTGGGTCTGCCTCAACCTTGCCATGTGACCTTCAAGTCCCTTCTGCTCTTTGGGACCTACTTTTCCCCTTATCCAATTGGGATATGCCTCAAACTCCTCACTTTGAAAGCCTGTTGTGAGGTTAAAGGAGACAATGGATGTTTTGCTATTAAGATGAAAGTTCAACTCCACTGAACTCAGCAAATGTTGACTCTGGAGGGCTTCTTCATGCCAGATACCTGTGGGGTGCTGCTAGAGCCAGACTCTGCCCCCGACCCTGTAGCTCACCGTCTTCCAAGAGGATAGGGGACAGACAGACAGGCAGACAGACAGACAGACACCCGCAAACATGTGGAGTCCTAAGCAAGCTGTGGTTGTGGGAGCTGGGGTGTGCAAGGAGAAAGCCATGACTTCTGACCCCATTCCTCAGGGAGGACTTGAAGGACAAGGGCAGTAGGTAAAGAGAGGAAGGCCATTCCAGGCTGAGAGTGCAATAGAGGTGGAGGCTGGAGGTGGGAGGGGGCAGCATGGGTGTGGAGAACAGCAAGCCGTCCAGTGGGGCTGCAGAACGTCTGTATGAGCTGGAGCCATAAGCTAGGAGGCTGGAGGGCACAGGGCCTGTGGACCTGGCTGAGAGTGGGGCTTTGCCTTGTCGTGATAGTGACGAGGGGCCCGGGGAGGGGCTAGGCAGGGGACACCCTGGCTGCTCCTCAGAGAATGGATGGCAGGGACCTGAGGGGAGGCCAGCACTAGGGCAGGGTCTGTGGGGATGGAAGGGGCCCCAGGAGGCAAGCCAACTGTGGGGCTGAGAGAGGAGGAGTTGGTGGTGGGCACACATGGCTTCCCGGAACTCCACTCTAGCTCTGTAGGAGACCAGAACCACAGGAGCAGCTTTTTGGGCAATGGGTCCCTTCCAAGGTGCTGGGGCAGGAGTAACTTACACCGCCCACCCTATGTTGGCTCCAGCAGGCTAGACCAGGTGAAGTCCGACCTGCCATCTATCCCTTAACTCACCAGTTCAGGCTTTGCCATCACCAGGCTCCACTGAGGGCCACCTAGCCTACCACCATGCCCCTCCCTGCCTCATCGCCAGGAGATGGCCCTTGGGTCCGGGTGGCCCCGCCTCCATAACCTTACACATTAATACCAGCAAGGCAGAGCCACACCCCTCCTCGGTGATTGGCTCAAGGAAGTTCATGTAACCCAATCCCAGCCAATGAGACAGGAAGGAGGTCTGCTGAGGGATGGCTAGGTGAGGTTGGTTTCCAGTTGCTCCTTAAAACCACCTACAAGAAGACGGGCTGTGGCTGGGTGCGATGCCTCAGGCCTGTAATCCCAGCACTTTGGGAGACCAAGGGGGGCGGATCACCAGAGGTCGGGAGTTCAAGATCAACCTGTCTAACACGGTGAAACCCAATCTCTACTAAATATACAAAATTAGCTGGGCGAGGTGGCACTTGCCTGTAATCCCAGCTACTCAGGAGACTGAAGCAGGAGAATTGCTTGAACCCGGGAGGCAGAGGTTGCAGTGTGAGCCAGAATCACGCCACTGCACTCCAGCCTGGGGGACAGAGACTTGGTCTCCAAAAAAAAAAAAAAAAAAAGGCTGCCTCTTTTCTGCTGGTCTTTCATTTTATTTGGGTGAGGTGCCCCCATGAGCCATTAGCCAGCTGAAGATGGTAATTTGGGGTGTTGGAAAGATCCTGAGACCTCGAGGACGCTTCCGAGCCTGAGCATCCACCAATTCTGGCAGCATTCTATGTCGTGAGTTGATGTGGTGTGTGACAATATATATCCTTAGTATTTAAGCCAATCCAAGTTGGGGTTTCTGTTACTTGGAGCCAGATGTGAAAAGGGCAGTGGTGAGACTGGCCTCAGAGGGGACACTGGCACTAGGGGAGGTACAGCTCTGTAAAGAGTGGAACCCATTTAACTCGGACCTGGACACTTTGCAACGATTATCCTTTGAGTTCTCCTTTCAGATTGGAATCAGTGAGTCTGGAGAAAGGAACAGCTTACCAAAGGTCATGCAGCCTGTAAGTCACAGAGCTGGGGTCAAACCCAGGTCAAACAGTGCTTTGCACGGTGACAATTGGTGAGAAATCATAGCCCCCCAAGATGTCAGAGAGGGCAGGCCCTAGAAATTACCAAGTCCAATCCCACCCCCTCAACTGTAGAGATGAGGCGACCGAAGCTCAAAGGGGACAGAGCAGGGGTCTGTGTGAGGTCTTAGTGCAGGCTGCTGGCTGGTGCCCCTCCAGATAGGACTCTGCCCAGGCAATCCCCACCCCTCCTTACCACAGCAGCCTGCCCCTGTTCTGTCACTGCTGCACCTGGGCACCTGTGTGCCGGCTGCCAGCAAATTCCCAACTTGGCCCAGCTGCCACAGGGTTAGGTGATGTTCAACAGGTGTCCTGCCATTGCTGGACCGGGTCCCACACATGCAAAAAGCACTGGGAGCAAGTCTGTGTAGTGAGTGGTGCCTCTCCTACCCAGATTAGTTAGGCAGCAAAGGCAGCCAGAGAGAGCCTGGGGGTGGGAGGGGGTGCACTCATTAAAGCAGGCAGCTCCTGGGGCCCCTTGGGATAGCCTGCTGATTGGTTCTTAATTTTCTGGGCAAATGCAGGGCCATGTGTGAGGTAACTCTGGGGAAATCAGGCAAAGGATTGGTTTGGGTTTGAAGCCTCTGTCCCCAGGGTCCCCCTTTGTCCCACTCCTCCCCACCACCATCACTCTACCCCATGTCTGAGCCTTCTTTTAATGTCTTTGCCTTTAAATGAAGCCTGGGCTCCAAAGGGGTGTCTTGTTCTATTTTTGCTATGCCAGACATGAGCATTGGTGGGCAGACAATAGGAGGGACCTCCAAAAATCCCTCTGTCCTCCAAGGCCCCTAGGAATGTTGGGACCATCGTGTAGGGCAAGCTGGCAGTGAAGCGCAGATGATGAGAAAAGACCAATCTGGCTATTCCCCTGAACTCAGCCATGGTCTCTGCATGCCCCTGCCCCCAGTCTCATACTCAAACACACAGCCCTCCTGTCCGCCCTGACATAAGTCACAGCCTGCGTGTCCCCACCTCACGCTTGCGCTATTGCTGTGCCCAATTGCCCTGCCCTGTATCAACCCTTTCTCTGTTAAAAATTCAAGACTGCTGGCCGGGTGTGGTAGCTCATGCCTGTAATCCCAGCACTTTGGGAGGCTGATGTGGGTGGGTCACAAAGTCAGGAGTTCGAGACCAGCCTGGCCAACATGGTGAACCTTCATCTCTACTAAAAATACAAAAATTAGCTGGGCATGGTGGCGGGTGCCTGTAATCCCAGCTACTCGGGAGGCTGAGGCAGGAGAATCACTTAAACCTGGGAGGCGGAGGTTGCAGTGAGCCAAGATCACGCCACTGCAGCCTGGGCAGCAAGAGCAAGACTCTATCTCAAAACCAGTATACAAAAAAAAAAAAAGAAAAAAAAAAAAAAGAAAAAGAAAAAGAAAAAAAAAAAACAAAAAACAAGACTGCCTTCCCTAATCCAAGCTTTACATCCCTCTCCTCCGATTAAATTTTTTTTTTTTTTTTTTTTTTAGGCTGGGTGCAGTGGCTCATGCCTGTAATCCCAGCCTTTTGGGAGGCCAAAGTGGGTGAATCACCTGAGGTCAGGAGTTCGAGAGCAGCCTGGCCAACATGGTGAAACCCCGTCTCTACTAAAAAGATAAAAATTAGCCAGGTATGGTGGCGCGTGCCTATAAGCCCAGCTACTCGAGAGGCTGAGACAGGAGAATTGCTTCAACTCGGGAGGCAAAGGTTGCAGTGAGCCGAGATTGTGCCACTGCACTCCAGTCTGGGAGATGAGAGCAAAGCTCTGCCTCAAAAATTTTTTTATTTTATTGTGGTAAAATATACATAGCACGACATTCACCATTGTAGCCATTTTTAAGTGTACAGTTCAGTGATGTTAAGTGCATTCACATTGCTGTGTAACCATCACTACTATCTATTTCCAGGACTTTTCATGACTCAAAACAGAAACTGTGTACTCATGACCTGTGACTCCCCATTCTTCCCCTTCCCCAGCCCCTGTAGCCGTCGTTCTACATTCTGACTCTCAATTTTCCTATTCTAGGTATCCCATATAAGTGGAATTATACATTTGCCCTTTTGTATCTTCTCTCCTCTGATGTGATAGCCCTGACAAGCCCTCCCAGTTTGTCATTAGATTATACATTATCTTGTGTTGATGTTCAACCTTTTTACCCATGTGACTCCCATCTTCACCAGACCAAGAGTTCCTGGAGGGCAGTTTCTCTGCCGCACAGGCGAGTGCAGCCCTGGGTATGCCGCGGAATTCAGTCAACTCTTACTCAATAGTCAAGGGAACTGCTGACCGACTCACTGAGTGAGTGAACAGTGAATGTGTGGGGGAGTTACAGGAAGCTGGAACCACTGGGGAGGAGACATACCTGAGGGCATCCGTTCTGGCTGATGCGAGGCTCGTCAAAGTTCATCACAGATGGGATAGGGAAGGAGAGTGGGGTGATGGGCAGCCCCACAGAGGCCAGGTCCCTGTTGGCCTGGCTGACCCTGGGGAGGCAGGGAGACAGGGTCAATGCTCTGGGCTCTGCACCTGAGCCTGGCAGCCCAGGGCCCCTGCTTTGATTCTGGGTTGATGCGAGAGTAGGGAGTTGCAGGGACCCCACCGAGTTCGGGCCTGGACCTCATAACAAGTGGGGACCACTGGGCTGGGCGGGCATCAGTCATCTTCCTTCCTCCAACAAGCAAGGTGGCTTCATAGGTCGAAAAAACTCAACAGGAGATAGAGAGAAGTAGGGGAGTCATCTTGGGCCATCAGGGCCAGTTGGAAGTGACCAAGACAGACCCTGACTCCCAGGAGTCGGTGCTGTGGCAGAGAGCACATGTTCATAGGGGAACTCTCCCAATGTGTGGCAAAGTATGAATGTCCTCCTGAGGACTGTGACTCCAACAGACTCAAAAGGAGGTCTAGAGGAGGAAGGGACGAGTTGTGGCTGGGGCCAGGGAGACCTCCAGGATGAGTAAGGAGGGGACTCCGGCAGGACTAAAGGCTGTGAAGCTCCAAGATGGCCTTTGGGGCCAACCACTGGCTGGAGCCTGTGGCCCTGAGCTGGAGCAGGAGAGGGAGTGTGGAGGTGGTGGGTGTGAGGCAGGGAGGCAGGCTGGAGGGGCTGAGGAACCCTGGGCAGGGAAGGAGGACCCCTCTTGTTGTCCTCCTCACACTCTCTAGCTGTTAGGCCTGGTATCGGCACTCATCCCCACCACCTGCCCTCCAGCCTGCTCTCAGGAGAGGAATGAGCTGCCCCCTTCCAGGGGCCTGAGCTCTTCCTAGGGAATGAAAGGCATGGTCTGCTGCAGGAAGCTTACTGGGACCTCAGACCCAGTGGAGAGGTTTGAAGGGCCTTAGAGGCGGAGGGGTTTCCGGAGGTCCCATGGCAGCAATGACAGCCTCGCCCCCTCCTCTGCCCTCTGCCCTCCCCTCCTTGCCCATGCCCTCCTGGGCCCCACTCACTTAAATTCCTTGTAGTTGGGAACCACCCGGGCAATCACCACCATGGGGTTGGGATTGTTGGCCAGGGGCTCGTTGACTCCCCGGAGAAAGATCTGGAGAGGAGAGGAGGCAGGTGAACCCCATGTGGCCTTGGAACCTTCCAGAGATAGCCAGCCAGACTGCCTACCCTCTTTTTCCCCATCCGTGAGCTCACGGCTGCTTCCACACTTGACACCTGCTCCTCCCTGTTCCCTGCCTTACTCGGTTCTTGCTTTGCACCAGGCTGCCCTCCCTCAGGCAGCCTTCTCTGCCTAGCTGAGGCAACTACCCCCGCTTTCTGTCCTGGGATTTACCAATGGATCTCTTACACTAGTTCCTTTGGGGACAAAGGGTGCCATGAGAGTTGGGGCCTGGGAAGGGAGGTTGTGTTCTAACCTTGGCCCCTCCACTGGCTCCTGGGGAGGGGTGGGGCTAGCGGTAGGGCTAGGTGTTCCAGCTCCTTGGTTTCTGTCAGTCAAATGAGGCTCATCTCAGGGTTGAGAGGGGTCTCTGATTAGATCGTTTGTGAGAGAGCACTTTATAAACAAAAGACAAGAAGCCCAGGTCTGGTTTCTCCAGCCATACGGGACTTCCTGAGATCAGCGGCCACAGCCAGGCTCCCCTGGCCTCCCTGATGCCCATCACCCTGGTGCCTGCTCCCTTGCCTTGCTGGTTTCCCCAAGAAGTACTGGTTTGGAACAGGATCACAGCATCCACATCTCTGGGCTATTCTTTCTTAATCAGATCCCAGTTGTCACTCCCCTGATTGCCCTCGCTTGTTCCCTCCTTAGTCCTCTGTCACCCGCTAAGGGCTTCCCTGCCTCCCAGTTCTGACTGCCCTCTCCTCTCCTCCGGGCTTCTATTGGCGCAGCTTTCGGAGAGCAGAGCGGGGTCGCAGCAGGAGGCTACAAAGCAGGAGTGGACAGTGTCATCTTGCTCCAACCCTCACTGACCTCCTGCTCAGCCTGGGCCTGGGGACACTGGAAGGCAGACAGGGGAGACAGGGAGTCTGTGCCCATGTGCCTTTGCTGCCAGCCCAAGAGCCCCTGATCTCCTGGACCTTGACCCTCACCCTGTATCCACCAATGGCTCCCACTCTCCCTCAGCCCTCACCCACCTCCCACTCGGCTCTCATTCCTCCTGCTCCTCCGGTTCCTCTGCCACTTCACTGTCCTCTCCATTTCTGTTCCTTTCCCTAATCCATTCTCTTTCCCAGGCAATTTGACACATGATGGCAAACATGCTTTTGTTAGAAATGAACTGGGTCACGTAATTTTCCTGCCCGACACCCCGCATGCCCCTCTGCCGCGTCTCCCGACAGGCCCCCAGTCCCTATCTTCTTGCTCCAGATTCTTTTACTCCTGCCACACGCCCCTCTTATTTCTGCCACAGCGTCTTCGCACATGCTGATCCCTCTGTCCAGACCCCCCGCAGCTCCCACCAACCCATCATGGCTGACTCCTTCTCATCCTGTAGCTTAAACATCACCACCTCTGAGAAACCTCCCGTGACCATTTTTAATAAAGTAGCCCACCCTGTCCTCCCCATCTCAGTTACTGGATTCCCTTTGCCATAGCACTCATCATAGCCTATGTTTATTCTCATTTATTTCTTGTTTCTTTTCTGTCTATTTGGCTAGATCCCAAGCTCCACATGAGCAGGGACCATGTCTGTCTCATTCACGGTTGTCATCCTAGGTTTTAACAAAAGTGCCTGGCATAGAAAAGAGCTCAATATCTGCTTGTGGATAAATGAGGATCATATGGGCTGGGCACGACGGTTCACGCCTGTAATCTCAGCACTTTGAGAGGGCGAGGTGGGCAGATCACAAGGTCAGGAGTTCAAGACCAGCCTGGCCAATATGGTGAAACCCCATCTCTACTAAAAATACGAAAATATTAGCTGGGCCTGGTGGCACATGCCTGTAATCCCAGCTACTCAGGAGGCTGAGGCAGAAGAATTGCTTGAACCTAGGAGGTAGAGGTTGCAGTGAGCTGAGGTCGTGCCACTGCACTCTAGCCTGGATGACAGAGCAAGACTCCATCTCAAAAAAAAAAAAAAAAAAAAAAAAGAAAGTGAGGATCATATGAATGAAGGAGAAAAGAGGGGAACAATGGAGGAAAAGGTTTACCCTTCCTGTGTTTATGAGCATGAAAGAAGGAGAGACAGAGAAACAGAAAGACCCAAAAGGAAGAAGGGGAGAAGGCAGGCAGTGGTCTGGGTGAGGGTCTTGGGGGATGTGTGGGATCCTAGTTCTGTGGTGCTGATGGGAAGAGAAGCAGGAAGAGGAAGGGGCTCTGGACACAGCTGACGGACTCTGCCCCAGGCATAGCTTGAGATGGGAAGAGGTCCTCACTGGTCTATTCCAGCTCAGCCATTCACTCCAGCTGGGTCACATTGGCGAGTTCCTGCCTCTGGGCCTGTTTCCCCACTCGTGCATGGAAGGATTGAACCATAATCTCCCCTGAGTTTCTAGCTCTGACCTTCAATGGGAGGAGAGGGCCCAGGAGTGGGGCTTGTTCTGGATCATTCTCCCTTTTCTTCCTCCACACCCTCTTCTCAGGCTCCTCTTTCAATACCCATCTCAGCTGATTGCCCAACCTCTAACCCCACACAGGTGTGAGCTGATGGGCACGTACAATAGTCCTTAGGGCCTTGCAGCTCTCACTGAGGGCTCTGGAGACTGAATTCCTTCACCACAGTCAAAGGATTGAATCTCTGATGGTACATTTCACACTTTGGAGGGGTCTGGGGTCTGGGGCTGAGGGATTTCACTGGAGGCTGGCAGGCCCTACTGCTCACAGTCTCCCCAGCAGGTGTAAGGCTGAAAAGGGGGTGGTGGCAGCTAATTTGCATCTGTTCTGTGTGGACTCTGATCAGGTGTGAATGAGACAGCTGCCCAAGTACACCTGCTCATGACAGCCTGGGAAGTAGCAGAAGTTCCTGCTCCTGCCATGCGCTCACCATCAGGAGCAGGCAGCTGCTCTGTGGCCATACCCGTCGCACAGATGGAGAGGGCATGGAGAATGGGCAAGGTGCTGTGGGCCAGAGAAAGCCCCCACTCTACTGCTCTACCAGGCAAGTCAGAGGGCTGGGTGGGGTGGGGCAGCCCTAAAGTTCTGCCTGGGTCTTGGGGATGTGGCCCCCTCCCTGTGGGGTGCGGCCTGGAGACCACAAGGCCAGGCTGTTGCCCCTTTTCCTTGTTCTGTGTGTGTGTGAATTGCTGGCTGTCCTCAGGAAAGGGTGTGATAGAAGGTGTCAGGGAGCAGAAGGCGCCTGTAGGTCTGACATGCTGGCATCGGAGGGGTGGCTGTGGGGGAGTAGAAATGTGGGTTAGGAGTTTTGGCTCCCATACCATACTCCCCTTGGGTCTCAGTGTCCCAGGCTGTGAAAGAGGGCAAAAGAATGCTTCCTCCCCTGCCAGGCTCACAGTGCTGGTGGGAAGTAGCGGGGGTGGAAAGGATAAGAACAGATCAGCCAAGTTTGGGTAGGTGGAAACTCAGAGCTTCGGTCCTGTGGCTCTCACCCTGATCATACTCAGGCTATAGCTGAATTTGAATCTGTCACCACGGGGAGTTTGAAAGCTGGGGGAATGGGAGAGGGGCCAGGTCCCTGGATCATGTCTGCTTTGAGCATCAAGAGTTCCTCCCAAAGCTGCTAATTGGCCTAGCGGGTGGATGGTGATGGGTCCAGGGTTGGTGACCAGACCTAAGGTGGGCCCAACCCTGTCCTGGCTAATGGAAGAGGCTCTGTAAACAGTTGCTGGATGAATAAATGAATGAATGAACTGAATACCTAATCAGTAGACCAGTCAAACTTCTTTAGACACGGTGCTGAAGGAAAGCTCAAGGAGGCCCTAAACTTTTGCTTGGGGGGCTGAGGCACTATCCCAGGAGGGGAAGAATAGAAGAGAAAACAGCTGGGCTAAGGGCTAAGGGGGAGCACAGGGCTTCTCCCCTGCCCCTAGCATAAGATTTGGGGAGACATAAGGCTCTGGGATGCTCTGGTCCCCACTGCAGCACAGAGATGGTACACAAGGAGCAGTGGTATGGCTGAGCCCCTGCCCCTCACCTCCAAGGCAGAGAGGGAAGGAGAAGAGGCTTGAGCATTTTCATCCTTGTCATCCCTGCCAAAGGGCTTGTCTTCACAAACTCCTTTTGCTATTTTGGAAAGGCCTGGTTACTTTTTCGATTCTTGGTATCTCTGCTCCATACCCTCAGGCCAGCCAGTGGGGGCCAAGGGCAAGGCGTGGGGCCTGCTCAAAGTTTGGCCCCTTCCCACTCCACCCACCACCCCAGAGGGCCCCAGCTCTGGTACCTCCAGAGCTGTGTGGTTGCAGCCGATGTCGCGGGGGATGAAGCTGCTCTTCCGAACGACTGTGGCATACAACTGGGTCTTGGCAGCGGCTTCATCAGCTTTCCCAGACTGGGTGGGCTGGAGACAGGGTGGGGACAGAAGAAACAGAGGAAGGAGAGTGTCTAAGGGGCAGATCCTGGCCATAAATCCAGCCCTCTGCAGACAATCACTTGGCATTGCTCCACTGGGGCTCCGAGCTGATAATTAAAGCTCATGGTCCCTGTGAGCCCTTCCAAGGAGATCAATATAATAAATCTTCCCTTTTCCATTTGAATATTTCATCACCCTCACAAGGACCACTGCCTGTCTGCTCTCCAGTAAAGATGTGATAACAAGGCCTGGGTTGTAAGTGAACAGACAGCCAGGGGGCCTGGGTGATGCCCCCAGAATTACAGCTCAAGTGCTGAGTCTCCCAGGGTGAGTAGTGCATCTCTTTTACTTCCCTACCTGGCCCATCCTGAAGCCCTGGGATTGGGGTTCATCATGGGGCCTAAGGGAAGGTAAAGCCCCCTGGTGCCATGATTGAAGAATTGCTTAGAAAAAAGTTCAGTGCTGGCCCAGAGGAGGGATGGAGGGAGGGGAACTGACCAAACTGAGCACCTACTGTGTGCCAGGAACCTTGCCTACCATTGCATGGGATCCTCAAAATGACTGTGCCAGCTTTGCTGATGAGGATGGAGGCCTGGGGGTTAAGTGGATTCCCACGGGTATCCAGCTAGGAGGCAGCAAACCTAGGCGAGGGCCCCGACAATCTGGCTTCACATTGTTCTTTACTCTCAACCACTGTCAGGGTCTGGAGTGCACAGTGGGGAGCGGAATGTGATGCTTCTGTTCATCTCTGGCTCACTGCCTGGCACATAGTAGGTGCTTCATAAGTCCTTGAGCAATGAGATTGAATTGTACCCCTTACGCCTTAGCACTAGGAGGGAGGACAGGCAGGGGTCTGGCCTTGGAGGCCCAACCTTGGAGTGAGGAGCCTCAGGCCCCTCAGTTCATAGCTTGGACCCAGTTGCTCACTCCAGGGATGCATTCCAGGGAATGCTTTATCCCGTGTAACCCCCAACTCTCCTGGGCCTTCTGACCAAGGCAGCATGTGGAGGTAGCTCAGAAGGAACTGGCTTGGGAGACAGCATGACCTGGGCTCATCCTCAACTCTGCCGCTCACTTACTCTGTGACTCAGGAAGAGGAGATTTTTCTCCCCAGGTCCCAGTCCCATGTCTGCAAAATGTAATTTACCTTGAGGATTAGAGAGGGAGTGTGAAGTGTCTAGCACAGGGCCTCGAAGCAGCAGGTACTCTGTAAATATTGTATTTCTTTGATTTTTAGATCCGCTCTTTTAACATTTATGTAATCAAAATCTATCTTTAATTGGTATATTCATTTAATGTGGCAATTGTCCTATAATATTCAGCTGTCTTACAGAGATGAATTTGGAGAACTCCAAATTCTTGTAGACATCATTCCTGTGTATGTACCAGGAGCTATGTTTCCTGAGCCCCACATGGTCCTAGATGTGTCATACTGTGGGTGGGTGTGGAATGTTCAGAGCTTCTCTGAGGAAATGACTGGGGACATTCAAGGTGGTTCCCACCTGCTCTCCCCACACTTTCCCAGGCCTCTGACTCACCTTCACCAGCTCAAAGTGGTAGGGGTGGAGGACACGTAGGTACTTGATGGGGATTTTGTAGGACAACAACTCCTGTTTCTTTCTATTGTCCACCACCTTGAGGATCACATCTGGAAAGATAAAAAATGAGCACAGGTTCACTTTTAAATGGATCCCTTTCTCTCCCAGCAAGGAGAGACAGTGAGAGGTGAGAGACATTGCTGAGATTAGGAAGCAGGGGCCACACTGAGGAATCAACATGCATGCACGTGTGTGGATCACCCCTGTGCACACAAACCCAGAAGCATAGTCTGAGCCTCTGCACAGGGCAAAGCTCCATGCCCGTTGCTGTTAGGACTCCAACATGCAATTTTCTCCCACGGTCTAGAAACTCCCAGGCCAGAGATAGACACACACAGAACTGAGTCCAGTCCCCTGTGGCAACAGACACACGTGTGCACACACTGAGATACACAGGCAAGCAGGCATAGCACCTATTTCCAGGAATAAGATTCCTTCCCTTGGTCACAAACACTTGTGCCAGCTCTTGAGGCAGGATGGGGAGAGATTATCTCACACATGTTGCAGGTGGGGAAACTGAATTTCAGTAAGAAAAAGTGATTTGCTCAAGAAATCCTTTAATACAGCTATCAATAAAAGCCTACTACAAGTAAGGGAAAACTAAATACTAAGAATAAGGCACCACTTAGTAAACACCCTCCAAATGGACTATATTTTCTCATAAAATAGTATGAATGTTGGTAGAAACTTTTTTTTTTGAGATAGAGTCTCACTTTGTCACCCAGGCTGCAGTGTGGTGGCATGATCTCAGCTCACTGCAACCTCTGCCTTCCAGGTTCAAGCGATTATCCTGCCTCAGCCTCCCAAGTATCTGGGATTACAGGCGCCCACCACCATGCCCAGCCAATTTTTGTATTTTTAGTAGAGACAAGGTTTTGCCATGTTGGCCAGGCTGGCCTTGAACTCCTGACTTCAAGTGATCCACCTGCCTCAGCCTCCCAAAGTGTTGGGATTACAGGCGTGAGCCACCACTCCTGTGGTATAAACTTTAAGAAGGACACCAATGTCCTATAAATAATCATGACAGTCCTGTTTAGTGAGCAGGAGTGTCATGATTATTTAGTGAGCATCTATTATGTGCCAGGCATGGGGATGGGCACGTCTCAGCCATGATTCCAACAAATTCTCACCACAACCCCTGAGGAAGGTATCATCATCTCTGTTCTTAAAATATGAACAGTGGAGCTCAGAGAGTTATATAACTAGATCAACATCACACGTCTAAAAAGTAGATGATGGGAAGGGTTGAATTTGGTGACACTTGAGGCATCTTTCTATTCTGGGAATCTATGATTTGAGGAGGAAGAAGAGATGGGGAGGGAGAAAAGGAGGAGAAGGATAGAGGAGGGATGGAGAAGGAATGAGACACATGGGGTAAGAAAGGATACAAAGGATGCAAAACAGAGAAGAACAGGAAAGGGAGGATGGGGCGGAGGGGTGTGCCTGAGACACTTGGGGAACCCCTTGCCCTCTGCGTCTCTTGAGACAAGGGATTTCAGCACCAGGGACAGCAGCTGGCCCTTGAGGGCGCAGCAGGTTCAGTGGGCTCAGCGGCTGGGTCATTTGGAGCTGGATGGGTCATTTGGACGTGGGGGTGGAAAAGGAAGCTGAGAGCTTTACTAAGTATTCTTTCTCTGTCTTCCCCACAGTGACCCTGAACACTTGCCAAGATATCTCAAGAGCTTGTCACATAGGATACATGCTCAAAGGAAAGAAGGGGGAAAAGGCACCGAAGGTGTTGAGGTTGGCTTGAAGAAGGGAGATTGAGGCAAGGGATATGAAGTCAGCAGACCTGGGTTCTAGTACCAGGACACTAACTTGCTCTGTGACTGTTAGCAAGTAATTTAACCTCTCTGAGCTTCATGTTTCTGCTCTTTAAAGCCTTGTCTCTCCCCTTGGGTTGCTGTAGGGAGAAGAATGTGTTTTCAAGCTGTAACATTCTGTGCAAAATGCTCCTTGTGGCTGTCACTATTTTCCTCCTCTTTAAGCATCTGCAGCTCTCCATACACAAAGCCTGCTGTAGGCAGACCTGAGGAAACTCTGCTGGGGGATTCCAGTGCTCCCAGCCAAAGCACCACCAGGAGCTGTGCAGGCTGAAGCCCCTTATGCCAACTCACCATGGACCCAGAATCCAGTTGGGATTTGCCAGGGTTGAAGGAGAGGTGAGTGCCATGCATTTTTTCCACCCACTATTCCTGGAGCTCTGTGTGGGCAGCCAGCAGATGAGCTGGAATTGGGGGTAACGGACAGTCACTCCTCCCTGCTCCTGTCTCCATGCTACAAACATGCTTCATCAGTTTCCTCTCTGGGCATTGTGCCCTTCCGGCCTCCCACCACTCCCTTTGTGTGGCCAACAAGCTATTTCTGCCACCCGCCTGCTTTGGCCCTGACACAGGGTCTGAAACTCCCCTTTGCTTTTCATTAACACATCCTTGAGCTATCTCCCACCCTTCCCCCGCCTCTTGGCCTGGCCCCCATCTCCCCAACCCCCAACGCAGACATCACCACAGCAACCGGTTCCAACAAGCATCCAGCTACTTCAGTCTGCAATGAGGTGCCTGCCAATATTCCCTGCCTGCCCATGAGGGCTCCCCACTCTCTTGTCCCTCCTGCAGTTAGTCCTGCCCCTCTCTCTGCTGCACAGATGGGCCCTGGGGCTACTGACCCTATTACATTTTTTCCTTTGTTACCCCAAGTATGTAGAGCCCAGGGCAGGATCCCAGCTCAGGTTCACTCACCACAACCTCTGACTTCCCACCAGCCACATAAATACATGCATGCATACACACACAGCCACACACACAAACTACACATACTCATGCACTGCAAGGCACACACCACCATCCAGATCCATCCAGACACACATACACCACACCATTGCAGCTAGACACACACAAGCACACACACACGTAAGACACACAGACATGCATGTCTACAAGTACAGACACAGCACACACCACATTCACACATGAACCAGCATGCAAGTATTCACAAAGACATGCACACACAGGCACGCATGTGCCTCTGCATGAAATCCTAGGTCCATTTTTCCGCCTCATTTGCATATTCTTAAAGCATCCCAATAGCTCCACCTATCCCTTTACAGGCAGAAAAGAAAAATTATCTGGTTTGACCTAGAGCTAGCTCCTTCCCCTTTTACGAAGGCTCCGCTTCCAGTTTCCTTTCTCCCCTCCCATAGTCTCCAGCTGGCTTTCTGCTCTGTGTGAGGAGGACAAGTTCTGTCTAGGTCTCTGGCAAGGTTTCAAGGGGGAGAGGCAAAGCCTGTCCTCTCAGGGAGAGACCACCTGCAAGAAGCAAGTCTGAGGTCCTGACTAGATGAGATCAGAGACATCGCCAGGCACCTCCGGTGTGTGCTGACAGTGCCCGATGCGATGTCCCACCATCCGGGCATCAGCCAATCAGTATTCCCATGTGTCCAGCCTGACATTTCCATTCTGCCCCAGGAGAATGGAAATCCAACAGACCCACAGTGTGAAAGTAAATACAAGGGTGCACATGCATGTGTGTACGTGGGCACCTGGTGGCTCAGGCTGACACCTGGGGAGGACTAGGCAGAAAGAGGGATCCATTCTAGGGACATTTCAAAGATTTTTTAAAAAATCAAATGGAAGCAGCAAGAACCCTGCAGCTGCAGTAAGAACATGCAATTCCGAGTCCTTGGACCTCGGTCTTGAGCTTAAGTCAGTTAAATTCCCTGAACCTCGATGTTCTCTTAAGCAATGGGAGCAGCATTGCACCTCCTGGGAGGTGGTGACTCCAATGAGCGATGTGTGGGGACGTGCTGGGAAGCTGTAATGTCCTGTTTCAGTGAGAGACGGCGGTAATAACAGCCATGAAAATAATAACAACAGTCATAAAAAAGATAAGCTTGCATTGTCTGGAAAATTCATTTATGTGGAACAACTCATTTTTCTAGCAGGATGGGGAGATGAGGCGTGACAGTATTATGATTTTTTCTGAGTGCTTTTAACTGAGCCCAAGGAGGTGTTCAGGTGGCTACCAGCTGCGGTGAGAGGGAGCCTGCTTCTGCCCTAAGTCCTTGGCTGTGTTCACACCCTGCCTGCACATGCCGGCCCAGCCCCCACCTTACCTTCTTGCCCTGCATCCTCAGCTTGGATCTCCACGTTCACCGTGTCCCCCCAGATAGGGGCTCTGGTGGGCTCTGAGGTCACAGATGTGACTGCCTTGGAGCTCTGGTTGTTCTTTTCCTCAGATGTGCTTTTCCTGGGGAGAGCAGGGGCAGGGTGAGTCAGAGGGAGGGGTCCTGTCTGCTGCTTGTCCCCCTCGCAGGCTCCATTGTCCATAAATCTGAGTGAAAGGTGGACAGCATGTGGAGGGCTCTGTCCCATGCATAGACGTTTGTGTCATCCCAGGCCTCTCCCCGGGCTCCTCTGCCAGCCCAGGTGACCACACTCTCTCGCTGACCACTACTGAGGCCTTCACTTAGTCACAGGCCTCTCACTTTGAGAGGCTCAGGGCAGGGGTGGGGGTGGGGGTAGAGGGTAGATGTCTTGCCCGCCTGACTTCCTAGCCCTCACCAGGGAAGGCTCTCCAGCAAGAGCCCGTGTGCATGGCCTCCGTCTTCTCTCGGTTCGGTTCGGTGGGAGGAAGCCTCTGGGCAGGGTGGCTGTGCGGTGCCCCGCCTGGCTGTCCTCTCTTCTTCACCTTATTTCCCTAAACTTCTGGCCCAGATTTCCAGGCTCCGCCCAGCAATCCCAGTTCTAAATGCTTGCAATGAAGCACACACATGCTGCTGACTTCTGAGATGCCTGCTGTGTTCAGGGTCTTGGGCTGGGCCCCTGGAGCTGGACACCTGGAGCTGGGTCCAGGTCTGGGGGCAGGGAGTGGTGGAAAGGGCTTTCCAGCCCTCAAGCACTCGGATTGTTCAGGACCAGGCTAAGGTGAGAGGTAAGCTTGGGTCCTCTGCACCCCAATGCACCCCACAGACATTGGAGATCCAGAGGAGTCAGATGGCTCAGGGAGAGAGTGAATACTTCTATAGAAGAGGTTACTAGGCCAGGGCCGTCCCCAGTGCTGCTCCATTAACTGCAGCAGTCATGGGCTGAGGAATCATCCCAGAGATCCTGTAGCAGAGGGAGCCACACCACACACCTTGCAGAGGAAGGCAAGGTGCACAAATCGTACCCCAGGATGGGAGCAACGATGTCTTCCCCTCCAGCCCTTGTTCCACCCTCAAAACCCCAAAGGGAGTGTGGGGCAGGCCAATTGGCTCAGATTCCACCTGCTCTGTGCATTAGCAACACCAATATGGTTCTTCCCAGCCCAGCTTGTTCCTCTCCTCCAAGAAGCCCTCTGGAGCCCCCTGGCCCTCACTGCTCCCTCTGCCCTTTAGACTTAAGTGACGCTGTGACCTGGCTCCTTGCCCCGACTCATCACAGCCCTGCTCCTGTGGGTAACCATGCTTGCAGGAGTTCCGTCTCCAAGCTCCAGAGGTCAACTGAGGACTCCTGCTCTGCTTTGACTGAGTGGCAGTGTGACGCAGTGATTGTAAGAAGGACCCTGCAGCCAGGCATTTTGGGTTCCAAATCCCAGCTCTACCCTTTGCCAGCTGGGTGATGTTAGGCAAGGCACAGAACCTGTGGTGCCTTATTTTCTTCATTTATAAAACAGAGACGGTAATGGTGCCCAGCCTGCAGGGCTGTTGTGAGAAGGAAACAAGTGAATATGTATAGTGCCTGGCACATTGCTAGGTACCAAGAAAGTATTAATAATTCTTAGTACCTTAAGTTATTAAAATATAAATATAATTCCTGTTCTTACCCCATAGCACTGGAGAGCTTAGCCTCATTGACCCTCCTGTGACCAGCCCCTTTGCCTGTCATGATTTTTCCCCATCATGCCCCCAACTCTGGGTCTACAATTGGGGAATGTCTGGCTGCTCTGGCCAAGGTGTGGAATCCTGGAAAGAGCATAGGCTCGGGAGTGATTCAGAGCTGGGTTTGGAGCCTGTGTTTATCCTGGTGGGATCACCTCCCCTCTGCACCTAAGTTCCTCCTTTTTCAGTAGTACCCTCCTCAGAGAGTGGTTATAAGGACTGGAAAGAAAGCATGTTCTGTTCCCAGCACCCAGAAAGCCCCAGTTCATGTTATTCCCTTCTTTGTGATACAGAACAGGCTGAGTGTTTTCTCAAGAGGACCTGCCTGAGGACAGCATGAAGGGGAAAGAGGTAGGCACTGAGTACAAGCTGGGGTGAGAAGGGGCATCTCCCAGAGAGCTGGATCCTTCTCAGATGAGTGTCCATCCAGACACATCACCCCTGCAGGCTCTGCAGAATGTACTCCTCACACCCCCAGAGGGGTGTGCGGGAGGCTGCCAGGCTAGAGAGGGAAGGCAGAAGCCTAGCAGGAACGTGGCACTTAGCTTGCTCCCTCCACCCTCAGGTCCCTTTTTCCCTCGGGCTCTGTGACCGTGCTTGACCGAGGGGTGCAATCTAAGCACCTCTTATGACACTCTGTGCCCCGGCTCCCGCTCCTGACAGCTGCCCCAGCAAAGTCAGAGACCTCAGGCTCTCAGCAGCCTCCCTGTGCTACCCAGCCACTCGATCTGCTACTTATAGATACATAGTTAGTACACAATAAGGCCTCACAGCCTCCCTCCTCAGGGACCTGCACAGAAACAGCAGAAAGCCAGAAGCGCCGAGGGTGTGTCAGGAAGTCAGTCCTTCTGCACCCAAATGTCAACCCCAGAACTGGACACAAAACTGCACCTGCACAGGCACATTCCTGGGGCATTCCCAGGAATCTTCATGTGGTTCTGTGTGCACAGAGAAGACACAACTGAATGTGTGAAGTCACAGGCAGCATAGTGACAGAATTCAGGATTCAGGTTGGACCCCATGCCAGCCTGTCTTCTACTGTCCTCATACCCTCCCAACCCTCCTGGGAGGGTGGCAGGAGAAATTCCCAGGTGCAAGAAGGTGGGGGAAGGCGATGGGGCAAGGCAAGGGAGCAGGTGCTGACTTTCCTCCAGCAGAGAAAGAGTTAAGCAACTATTTTCCCCACCTCCCTGCCCCATCTAATATGAAGGTCATCAGGGCTAGGTGAGTACAGATAAAGCAACTGGGTGGGAGGGGGAGGCCCCAGGGGAAGAGGGAGGCTTTTAGCAGGTGGAGGGAAGCTGTCAGGGTAATGGCTTTTCCTGGCACAGCTGACTCCTCCGGGCCTTGATGCTATTCTAGAATCTGGAGAGCAAGAAGGGCCTCTGATTCTTCACAGAATAGGAGCAGGGGACGAGCTCACTCCCTGCTCCCAGCCCCATTCTGCACCCCGCAGATGGGCACGTGGCTGAGTTCCAGGTTCCTGGGCTCCCTCAGGGCTCCCAATGCAGTCTTTGAGCCCAGGGGACCTCTCCAAGACCTGCCTCCCTAGGTCTCTCCACAGGCTGTCTGCAAGGAGAGACCTCCCTCCCCGTCCCCCCAAAGACCAGCCTTGTTAGCTTGGACTCTCTGGCTCCAGGCATCCAGAGCCAGGAGGAGGTAGTGGGTGGTTCCTGCTGTCTCAGGGTCAGATTTAATCCAGCCACAGCATGGGCAGCCATGCCAGGATAGGACTGGAGTTGGGTTTAGAGTGCAGCAGCCCCAAGACCAAGCTGCAAGAAAATGTAAACCCCCCTCAACCTGGTCTACCCTCCAGGCTGCTGGAAGAGTGTGTGTCTTTGACAAACTCCAGTCCCCAGCTAGGCATTCCTGGGGCCCCCACCCTAGCGGGGGATGAGGGGGCCAGGCCCAAGCGCAGCTGTGAGTGGGAGGGAACAAGGACTTTGCTTTCCTTCTGCAAGGTCATGACGAAGGGAAAATGTGTCATCTGGTTCCTGGGGGATGCAGCTGTGAGTGGAAGAAGTGAGCATCAGAAAAGCATGGGATTTGATGGACAGAAAGCAAGAGTGCTCATAAGCTGCTTTCCCCCTGACTCCAGGGGACACACACACACATCCACACATACACACACACATGCACACACACACACAGATGCATGCACACACACATACATGCACACATGCACATGCACAAGGCTGCCCAGAGAGGTGTGAGTACCATACTGTACCCACTCTTGTTACCCAGCCCTCAAACTGCCTCCAGGGTCTTCTATTCACACCTGAGCCTACCTCCCTCACCTGCCCTGCCTTCTTTTTGGCCTCTGACTCCCCTCAAAGCCTCAAAGCATGAACAATAGTCAAGGCCTGGCCTCCTCCTGGGCAGAGCTTTAGAAGCTGGGGCACAGGCAGCCTGACTTGTTTTGAGTGCCAATCCCAGGCCAGTCACCAGGAGAGCAAAGGAAAGGGGAGGGGCCCGACTCAGATCTGCTGTGGCTGCTGGGGTCCTGGCTGGGCAGGCTTGTAAATCCTGAAAGAATAGAGGGATGTTCCCAGAAGCCCCTGGCACTGGGGAAGTCAGGCAGGCACTGGGAATAATGGATAAAGAGCGGACCTTTAAGTGGATGGATGGTGGAATAGGGGTATTGGGCCCCTTTGACCTGGTCCATCACAGCCCATTGCTGGCTCACCTGGGAAACTGAGAGGGAGGTGAGGGAACTGGCAGTCCTGCAGGCCAGCTGTCGAGGTATCATGGTCAGGCCTCAATCTTTCCTGAGAAGGTAGGGCAATTCCCCTCTACCTGCTTCCTCCATGCCAACTTCTGAGCCGGGGAGGCCTGTCTCCCCCATCCTCCAGAAGTCCAAGAGGCTGCCAGACTCCCAGCCATAGGCTAGGCCTGCCTCCATCCCTGGAGGGCTCTGAAAAACCCAATTACCTCTTCCCAATCCAGGAGCCCAGTCTTATGCAACAGGAGATGGGAGCTGGCTTCTGCCGTGACAATCATCTGAATGGGGTGGCCAAAGGCTGGGTTCCTGTGTTTCCAACCCCAAACCTGGAGGAGGCAGGGCTTAAACAGATAGATGGAGGATCTTTCCACTTGGAGGAGGGAAGATGAGGCTTGAGAGGGGCTGTCTGACTCATGCAAGTGCCGGCTTGGGAGCAGGGGTTGGGGGAGTCAGGAGAGGGAGGCTGCGGTTCTCCCCTGACTGAGTCCCTCTCAAGGCCCCTTTTTGCCATAGCCACAAGCAGTGTCCTCTGAGGCCAGGCAGGCAGAAGGGAAGAGCCCCGGGTCTCACACCTCTGGCCTTCGCCAAGTTCCCCTGGGATTGCTGGCCAGGGTATTGTGCCCGGGGACTCCTCAAAGGAGGAGCTGAGATCTGAGGCAGGGAGTCAGTGCTAAAGCTCCCTTCTCTCCTCACCCCCGCTTCACCACACAACAGCCTCGACAAGGCCCCCAGTCCATGCTGCCGCCTCCCCCAGCCCCATGCTGAAGGCAGGGCAGCTGGTCCTTGTGGGTTTTGAGCCCTGGGAGGCTGCCACTTAAGGCATGAGCGGGGCTGTTATTCTCAGCAACGCAAGGGGCTCTCATCCTGGGTTTCATTTATTAATTGCACTCTAATGAAGCATCACTAATTGCTGATGGTGCTACAACACTGCAGGTGGGCCTCAGTTTACAGAATAATTGACTCTGGAGCAAGGAGGGCGCCAACTGGAGGCCAGCAGTTCCCAGTCCATGAGGGCCTGGCTCTTCCCCTGCCCTTACCTGCAGGGCATGAGGGCTGCTCTGGGAAAAAGAAAGGGCACCTTCCGAGAAACTCTGAGAGAAGCACTCTAGCAAAGGCAAAGATCTTCCTGTTAAACAAGGATGCTGCTCCCCTGTCCCGCCACTACTCACACTTCGTCCCAAAGTGTGGGCACCCCTCCTTTCCACCCATGGTGGACAAGGAGAAAAGCACAGCCCACAGAGTTTTGTGATGGCCCAAAGTCAGGCTCAAGTGCTGGTGTGCTGGGCATTGTTGCACCTTCTACCCTTTTCTGGGAAGGGGATTTCCTTGTTTTCCAGAGATACATTTTTGCTCTTTTTGAGGTTGGAGGCGATGCAGGGCCAGGAAGGGCTGCTGTCTGTACCATCTGTCAGCCTTTGGACTATCATGCTGTGGCCTGTCCTGTGGCATAGCTGGTGAGGGGCCCTGGGAGCCACCTTCTTAGGCCATGGGCGATAGGTGGACCTGTCAGTCAATACCATGGTCCTATGGGGAGGCAATGACAGTCCCCTTGGAAGGTGTGGGCCTGGATGAGACAACCCAGCAGAACTTGCCAGGACGCGGGATCCTCTCAATGGTTCAGTCACTCTAAACAGCCACTCTTCTGAGTACCCCCTTTCTCACGTATGCAGTCTTAGGGCAGGAGGAGTGTGGACCAGACGTAAAGTCGAACTTCCTGACCTCACAGAAATCACCGGACTCTTCTGATTCCTGTCATTCTGATTCTCATTCCCTGCTTAACTTGTGTGCTGTTCAGTCCACGTTTTGAGGTCTGGGGCTGCTCCCTGGCTCAGACACAGAGCCCAGCCTCCTGAGGGGCTCCGATACCCTAGTGCTGGGACTGGAGCTTGTCCACCTTCCTGGGAGACTGGGCAAAGGATGAGCGAGTGGGGACAGCCTTATGATTCCTGGCCCCTCCCCACCCTCACCACCACTACTGGACTGTTCACCCCTCAAGGGCAGGGACCTGTCTTGTCGCTGCTGGAGCTCAGTTCCCACTGCCTGGGCACAGTGGGGCCCAGCAGGTGTTTGCTGAAAGAAGGAAGAGGGGACAGACCATTGGAAAATCAGGTGGGACAGTGGCAGCACCTCCTTTCCAGCTCTGCCAGGCCAACTCACTGGCCCAGGCTGCTGAGCCAGTGGCAGCTCCTCAGGACTGTCCTGGAAATAGCTCTTGGCTAGGAGGAGGGTTCAGATTCCAAGTCCTGTCCCAAGAGCATGCCCCCAAAGTGGGGAAGCAGAGCCCATCTGTGGTGGGGGTGGGAACTGGGCTCCCTCCAGGCCCAGGGGGCACTGAGCACATTGGTCCAGCCTGGCCCCTGGTCTCTCTGTCCCATTCCAGGGTGCTGTGAAGGGATCGATGTCTGGTTTCGTTGGCCACACTGACCATCCTGAGAGTGCCCTCCACAGTCCCTGGTTAGTCCCTAGGCCCCACTTCTCCAACGCCACAGGACACCGCAGCAGCACACAGTTGGGAAGTCGGATAATGAGTGACAGGAGAGGGAGGGGGCCACGCCCGCCACCTGAGTGACAGGGTCAGCCACTCCTCTGTCCCCATCTTTGTATGGGAACAGGGAAGGGGGAGGTCACAGCCTGCCCTCCCCGGGATAAAACCCCAGGGCCTCCTGAGCATTCCCAAGCCAGGTTTGCCACAGACCAGAGAGACAGCTTTGTGCTCAGGCTCACAGATCATGGGCTTGAGTCCTGGCTCCTGGCTCACCACTGCTGACTGTGTGGCACATCCCCTAAGCATCTCTGGGCTCAGCTCCTCCCTGATAACAGCGCTCAGTATCTTACAGGTTTCTGGGTGGACAGTGGAGCCACAGAGGAGGAGGGAGGATGAGATCAATGGAGAAGGCTAAGTCTGAGTGGAGATGTGTATTGGCAGGTGGGTCCATGGGGCTGGAGCTCAAGAGAGAGGCTGGATCCAGGGAATCTGGGGCTTTCAGGATGGGGGAAAGGGGGATGCCTAGGTGAGAGGGATCTCTTAAAAGGTGTGGAGGCCGGGTGTGGTGGCTCACGCCTGTAATTCCAGCACTTTGGGAGGCCGAGGCAGGTGGATCACCTGAGATCAGGAGTTCGAGACCAGCTTGGCCAACATGGCAAAACCCTGTCTCTACTAAAAATATACAAATTAGCTGGGCATGTTGGCATATGTCCGTAATCTCAGCTACTCAGGAGGCTGAGGCAGGAGAATTGCTTGAACCCCGGAGGTGGAGGTTGCAGTGAGCCGAGATCACACCATTGCATTCCAGCCTGGGTGACAAGAGTGAAACTGTCTCAAAAAAAAAAAAAAAAAAAAAAAAAAAGGAGGTTAGAGATGCAGAGGAGAGGCCAAGGACTGAGCCAGGAGCATTGACATTCACAGGATATTAGGACAAAAAGTATCCCACAGTGGAGTGGCCAGAGACAGAGGAGAAAATCAAGAGAGGGGGTTGTCCTGGGGGAGAGGAAAGAGGAAGCTTCAAGAAAGGAGAATGCCTATTTATACATATGTGGAGGATGCACAGCCATTGGGAAGGCACTCCCCTGGCAGAGGGGGACCAGTCAGCAAAGCTGGAGGCACTAGTGGCGTCTGAGTTGGGTTGAGGGTTCAGGAAAGGAACAATGAGGGGCCCAGAGATCCTCACTGACCAGAGGTGTTTGGCCTGAAAGTAAAACTTGGCTGATTTACACAAACATTTGGATATCTGGTTTCTCTTTAAAAATTGAGAGAGGCGACCGGGCATGGTGGCTCATGCCTGTAATCCCAGCACTTTGGGAGGCCGAAGTGGGCAGATCACGAGGTCAGGAGATGGAGACCGGCCTGACAAACATGGTGAAACCCCATCTCTATTAAAAATACAAAAATTAGCTGGGCGTGGTGGCGTGTACCTATAATCCCAGCTACTCAGGAGGCTGAGGCAGGAGAGTTGCTTGAACCTGGGAGGCAGAGGTTGCAGTGAGCTGAGATCATGCCACTGCACTCCAGCCTGGGTGACAGAGTGGGACTCCTTCTCAAAAAATAAAAAAATAAAATAAAATCGAGAGAGCCTGGCCAGGGTGGCTCACACCTGTAATCTCAGCACTTTGTGAGGCCAAGGTGGGAGGATCACTTGAGGCTGGGAGTTTGAACCAGCCTGGGCAACATAGTGAGACCCCCATCTCTACACATAAAAATGAAGAGGGCTGACAACCCATGCCCTCGTTCTTCCATGTAGAGATCAGTGGGAGGGACAGGGGCTGCTCCTCTGAATGAGCTAGGTGCTCTCTGGTTTGCCACAGTCGCTTCCACTCTCTATTGCATCACATGCCAGGAACTTCAGGATTTGCATAAGTAGCTTGGCCTTGAAGACATTGACTTTGAATTCTGACTCCACTCCACTGCTCCACTGCTGCTCCACTGCTGCTGACCGTGCGGCACATCTCTTAAGCATCTCTGAGCTCAGCTCCTCCCGGACAATGGAGTTCTGTATCTCACAGGTTTCTGGATGGATAGGTGGAGCCTCAGAGGAGTGGGGAATGAGATCAGTGGGATTCCAGGGCAGCTCCTTCTGCTGGAAACTTAGTGTGTGCATGGAGGGATGACAGAATCATGGAGCACACAGGGGTAGGGGGAGCCTAATCAGTGCCCAGAGCCCCAACTCCTGCTCAATGGCTTCCCTCACTCCACTACAAGCTAGACCCTGTGGCATGTGACCCTGGGACCCATGGGGACCAGGCTAGGGCAGAAGGAAGCTGCATAAAGCCTGGAGGGATCACCAAGCCTCCTGGCTGCTCATCATGGCCAGGGAGGGAGGAGGAGGTTGTCAGCCGCTCTGCCCAGGCTCAGGAGTAAGCAGAGGAGACAGCCAGTGCAGGATGCAACGAGGACACCAGGAAGGTCCCCTCTGGCCTGCCTCACGGCCCCAAATCTCCCGCACAAATGCACTCTGAGGCTGTTCTGCAGGATTCCGGAAGAAGCCTGTGAGGGAGAACTCACGCTTCTTGAGTCTGAATGAGGGTTTCAGGCATGAGAACACCGTAGGGGCCCCAGGTGGCAGAGATGGGAGAATGTCTGGAAAGAATCCTTATGGCTTCCGTCTAGCTGGGGGTGGGTCTCAGGCCAACCATCCTTCAACCACTGACACCAGCTGTGTTTATAACCCTAGGACACAGGGAAGTTCTCACTGAATAAAAATTCCGAGGTTCTGAGTCTCCGGGAACTGATGTCATGGGAGGCAGGTGTGGGTGGAAAATCAAACCATGGTGTGGGGGCCCTGCAGGGAAGATGAAGACCCTGGTTCCCAGGCCTCAATCTGGGCCTGCTCCCCACCCTTGTCTTTTTTCCGATGGGGATCCTGCTGGAAGAGAAGGAGGCTTGGCCTCTGTAGGAGCCAGTGGTCAGATGGGAATAGTCATCTTCATCTGCTCCACTCCCACTGGCCAGCCTTGTGACTTCAGACACATTCACGTTCTACCCTGGGCCTTGGCCTCCTTCACTATAACACGAGAATAATGCAGCCTGCTTCCAGGACGGCATCGTTAGAATCAGAGGGTGTGAATAGCCGAGCTCGCAGTGAGCTTTGAGTGGGACATCATCAGCAAGTGGGGGCTGCCTTATTCCTGGGACTATCCCATGATCACTGTCACTGTGTTATTGTTATTTTTGCTGAGCCCAACCCTCTGGCTGCTGAGACAAGTTCATGGGTCACCTGTGAGTCATTCTGAGCCTCCACCCACTCTGCACAGATCCCTGCCTTCAGGGGCCCTTGACCAAAGGCCTCCAGCCAGACAGGGAGGAAGGAGAACTCCAGATCCCAGGAGGGGTCTCCACACTAGTCACTGCATCTTCTCTGGAAGTCTGGGTTAGCGTCCTGTCCCAACAGCGCCCCTTCCAAGAGGGGCAACCACCGCATGAAAGATCAAGGCAGAGAATGAGGTGGAAGGAGCATTTGGATTTTGAAATCCTACATCTTGCATCCTCCCTTGGGTACTAACTAGTTCTGTGACCTTGGGCAAGTCATGGAAATGCTCTGAGCCTCAGGAACCTCATCTGT